TTGCCAGTTGGGATACGTTAATCCAGTTTAGATACATCCCTGCCACTCACAAGAACATTTTTGCATGTAGCTTCACCGCAACGCTGCTGTGAGTTCCGTTAAGCACATGATTTGGTTTTCGTTATTTCGTCCTCCGAGTGAAATAAAATACATTAAAAATGTAAGTTGGGAAGCGTGTCATCTAGACCATTTTTTGATAGCCGTAACATAGTAGCTAGAATGGAGTAAGTCCGTAGGGCGTTCTAGGCACGGGACACACGGACGGAGAGAAGGTTTCGTCAACCATCAAATCGACTGAAGTGCGTAGCCAGTTTGAGCTGCTGGCTTCTCAGCTTAATATTTTAGCCCAGCTCAACAGGCTACGCCCCGGGTAAATTGGGTTCGTCAGCGTTAAGTAAACCGAGATGAGATCGCCTTGCTGACGTCGCTATTCACCACTGTACATTCTTAGGGACCGCAGACTGCGCTGCTAGGAGAGATGAAACAATCCTGTAACCAGTTTTGTTGCTCTACGTTGTGGAGATTTATATGCATCAACGTCGCACTTGCTCAATGGACGCCAGGTCTGGATTGCATATTCCACGTAGGGCCTCACGTAGGCGCTAACATTTGCAGAAAGATTGCTGCCTTGGAAGTTCTGAAGTCCCACCGTAAGAGTGCAAGAGGTTTACTGACTCTTTTCGGTGCGTTCAAGCCGGTCTTGAGCAGCCAAGATCCTCCTGCACGATCACCCCATGGTCGATTTCCTATGCAGCATGTTGCAAATCTCGCTTCCTAAGTCGATGTTCATGGGTAAGCTAATAGCGTATACTCACGATTTTGCACTTCGCCACCTTGAACTAAAGCAGTTTATTGGATGAACACGTAGAAACCCTGTTGAGTTCGCTCTGCAATGTTAGTTAATCTCTAAGGGTCCCGATGTCGTGCCAAATTTTAACATCATCTGCATATGGTAAGAAATTCGAGTGCAGTACAATGGAAATAGTTAATGAATGTTAGGAACAAACGCGGCCTCAGTACCGATCCTTGAGGCACAACAAAGTGGACATCAATTGGGTCGGAATCGGAGCTGCGAACTAGTACATTCAGCTGACGTTGACTGCGGAAGTTGCCGATAGAAAGAAGCACAATGTCACCGAAACCATAGTTATGAAGCTTGCTCTGGAGAATACAATGGTCCAACTGATCGAACGCTTTCGAAAAGTCCAGGTAGACGACGTCGACTCGCACTCCGGCGTCGACTGACTCTGTCCAGCTTGCTCGGACTAGAAGCAAATCAGCCCTGCAAGATGGCTTTCAGGGGAATCCGTGTTGCTGTGACACGAGGATGTTGTTCCTCCCAAGGTATCGCATAAGCGCCACTGCAATCGTATCTTCGATTAATTTGGATAAAGCTTAAAGCAGAGTGATGGAACGGTAGCTCCAGAGCTACAAACCATTACTACTTTTGTAAACAGGAGGACCTACTCCATGTTTTCACGTTGTGGGAAGCTGCATTTCGTCTAGTCAACGTTGATAGAACCGAGCTAATGGTTCGGCAAGGTTCATGGCCGCTGTCTTCACACGTAGAATGTCGCTTTCCGATTCAAGCACACCTCATATTGCCAAATTGATGGAGTGACAATTTGTAGTCCGTTGGGTCCGGTACTGGCTGCTTTTCCAAGTTGTTGTTTGAGAGAAAAATAAGTGAAGCGATTTCTCAGCCGCAGTATTACAAACCATATGTAGAAGATATCCTTGTTTTCGGTTACATGAAGATGCAAATCGAACAAGTAATAGACCAACTTACTAATGTTCACGCTAACCTGAAGGTAACGTTTGAATTCGAATCGAATGGGATCTTCCGTATCTCGACATTCTCATGAGTCGCAGGGATATTGGGCTGATTAAGCGATCTGTATACCGGAGGCCAAAGTGGTCCGGGTAATACCTACACTTCACTAGCTTCACAACGATGGCACACAAGCGCGCGCTGTTAAAAACATTATTCACTCGGGCCAGGCGTATCTGCTCCAACTACTGCCTGCCTGAGGATTTTGAACTGAGCACTAAAACGTTTATGGAGAATGGCTATCCAAAGCGATTAAAAGACAAACCTAGCTAAGTTAGACTACCCAAATAAATGGTGTTGACAGCCTCTAAGAAAAAGGTGTACATCGAGTTTTGATTCAAGGGTGATGCCGTAGCCAGAAGGATATGCAAACGCCTTGTCTCGGCCATTTAGCTACGTACTGTGCTGCGGAGGGGGTAATTTTCAACAGAACCCGAAAGTTGCCGTTACCTTTAGTAAAGGAAGGTGAACCCGCCGGCACCAAATCCCATTGTGTCTACCAATGCGTGTGTGACTGCGACATTAGTTACATCGGCAGAACCGAACAGGTTTTAGATTCCAGAGTGAAGGTACAATTACCAAACTGGGTTCAGCGCTAAGTTACTCAATCCACCTCTGATGATACGTGCTCGCGTAAGCCGCCAGCGTCCTGCATAAGCAGGCACGTACTGGCGACTTGTCACCGGATTTTGTTACGTCATACCAATGCAGGCCATTTACAATTTGCCGAGGCCTTTGTGATAAACCGAATTGGACCAGCTTTGTGTGTCCAGATGCAATTAATTGTCAACCTGTGGTTGCCGTGGACCTAATCCCGACAACAACAATGACCACCACCATAAAATTGGTTAGCTTGACTGTGTCCTGTAAGACATATAAAAGGATATTGGTACTGACGAGATAATACGAAATGCTAGCATCTGCCAATATTCATCTTCTCTTTTCGTTGTTCAGACTACTGAGGGAAGTAATAGTCCGTTTCTTGAACGAGGTCGAGCAGCTTATCGTAATGGGTGGGGTCCTAGCTTTCCACTTTTTTCTTACCGATATGCTCCGACTAACCGGTGGAAAGACATAGCAACATCGCGTGGTCAATACAGCCGAGTGGTGCATCTTCGTTCACGGCTTCGACCCCAGTTTCCTTGTTGGGAACACAATTTCAAAACAAATTATGGGTCTCCTTTTCTTAATCGCGTTGGTGAAGTGACATGGTTGTACGGTGGTCCATCGGTGGTTAACTCATGCAAGTCAGGCTTGGATCATTCGTTGTGCGACTCAAAGTCTGATTGCGTTTAGCTTGAATTCCCCCACCAAATGGAGGTGTCCGAATGGTCATGCCAGGACTCACTTCATCGCAGGAGCTAGACACTGATCCATTTCCAAGGTTGACATTGGAGGACGGTAAACTTTTGCACATAAAAACACAACACCACGGCTTGGATACATAGCAGACCAAAGGGAATGGACGACTTGCATTTATTGAGTATCAATGATATCAACATGCTAGTCGAATCGATCATCCAGAAGGACCCCGCCTCCTCTGCTCGTTCGATCCTTTTGTACAGAAGTCATGCCGGGTAGAGCAATCTCAGCATCGATGATTCCCTTGTTCAGCCTTGTTTCGGTGATCATAACTAGGTCCCAAGGCGTAGAGTCTAACAAATAAGAAGTTTGATTTGCTTGCTGAGAACATCTTGTTCCTTGCTTTGCAAATAGATAAAAGCATCAGTGGTTGGAAGCGCTTTGGTGAATAACGATTTTCTATCAGGTCTTTGCCAAATTTATATCTCACCACTATAGCTCATGACCGCTGATACAACAGAAATCAGAAATGATAAAATGAGCCGGTATAAGACTACTGATACGAGTACTACAACGTCCAAATACGTGAATAAATAATCATACATCCCTATGGAATCTGGCCCTATGATCTGCAGCTGTCCATGACAAACCTGCCCTCTTATTTTTTCACTTATTCTTTATTGCATATCAGTAACAATAAGGGTTTCCGCTTTTAACATTAAAACTGCATTCACCTCAGTAGATCCATGCAGTGTAGACATAATACTCTATCGGGTAGTTTGTTTTCTACGATTTCTGAAGCATCTGCTCCTGTGTCCGTAACATTCTAGCCTTTTTCGAGGAGCATATGTGCAAGTTGTAATTAATGATGAGGTTGCGCTAAACTACATATTTAGACTTCGTTTGACAAGCAAAACTTATTGTTTGTCAACGTTTATGTCGCTTTTCAATTTACTTTGCGTCATTCACCGACATGTTGATACTTGCCAAATAATGGACAATTCGCTGACATTGTACCTAGCGCCAATGTATGTTGCTATTGGTTCGTTTGTTTTAATTCTGGAGTGTTCATTGTGCTCACAGGGCAAAGATTTTAACACGATTCTGCCTTTTTGAATTTCCCTATGCAACTACTGGGGAAATTGCAAGAGTGCTTGTCAAACATTATGCATTTCTTGCAAACAGTTTTCTACATTTTTGAATCAAACTTTGTTAGACATTCATAATTTATTCATTTCTATTGGTAAACATTTTATGGTCATTTTTGTCGCTATTTTGTTTACTAGGTGCTCACTAGGTGCAATTCGAACTGGAACATCTGAACATGTTTCCATCAATTCATAAAGCAGGATTATACGTCAGCGAATGTTTGAAAGCCTGACTTGTCCACTAAAGTACCATTTCCGCCTTCTGGTCTGACTGCTTTGGTTCAGATCGACGGGAAATTAGTTAACGGAGTATATATCCCCAGTACATTCTTCTTCACTTCTCTCTGAACAATGTGCATTTGCGAAATTGTAATGAACACAACATTATACATATTTCTATCAGATATGTTGAAGGTATTCATGAACATAGTCTGTACACCGTTTGCTCTATCAATATGTGGATATAGTCGCTCGTACAGTTAAGAAATAAAAGAGTTATTTATGTATTTATCTAAATCACGTTGCATGGATCAGTCATCAGTGTAGATGTCAGTTAACTCAACTCTGGAAATGCAAGTAATTGCTCCGTTCCTCGTCTTTAACAAGTTGCATTTACTTACCCCTCTTTGAAGAAATGGAAAGTGATTCGAGGGTAGAGAGTAAAATATAAAAAGCAATACATGTACAACGCACAACTGCGGTTGGACATCGGAACTTACCGAAAGTAACGTTGATGGTAGACTCGGGTCCACCGCTTACTGAGAAGACAATAACCATCCTGTTTGATTTTCCTTGGATTTCCTGAGGTACTATAGGCGTATCCCGCTGGAAAACATGAACGACTTCGGCACCGCAATCAGGTCCGTCTAAAATTCTGACAAATCCTGTCCGCGAATTTATCTATTGGATGTATACAAACCGAAACATTTCAACATGTAGTTTTTGCCGCTTCCTTATTTAGAAATATGTTAAAATTGTATCAAATACAAACGGGATGATTTAGTGGCTGAACCATATCAGGATTTATTTGATTCTCTAGGGTGTTTGTACAGATATAAACATTGTTTTATTGTCAATTATCTTCATTTGAGGGCCTGGTGGAAATATTTGGAGAGCAGAGTACACTTTGCTTTTGTGTGCAAATGAGATGTGGAAATTTACTACACCGACAACATGGGCTGTTTACAATTTCAGCAACGATGCTGGACAGCACGACAAACTGTTGATATGCACTGCGATATTCACGCAATTAATCCTGCCTTGCAACTATATCGTTTGAAAGGTACTTTAGAACACAGCGAAATAAGCGGTCTGACTTATTTCGTTCTACAAATTAAAAAAGTTAGCTGTTATTTGCGACACAAAGTACTTCATTTACTGTAATATTTCACTTGTAGTAGTTCATACCCATCAGGGGTCACGGCCGGCGATATTATTTACGCCTGCCCACGGACTATGCCCAAATTAGCTGTTGTTAACAAGTATGTAATATGAAAAAGTGTGATTCAAGTTACTTTTGATACTGCATCTCGTAGTGTCGAGGAACTTACAGTGATTGAACACTTGCGTGAGCAAGATAATGGTTGTGACATTTGACACCGTGTCTCCGTAATATCAATGACTTCAAAGGTTTCGAATATTGGAGTGATCAACCCGACCTAGAGCACAATAATATGAACAACCTGCAACGCTTCCTTTTAAAGCACAATAATGAGCCGCGGTTTTCGGTTATTAAGCTCAGTTGCTTCACAAGTCACGTGCATTGCAGAGCAGTAAGTTGTCGTCTGTTGGTATATGAGCTGTTTAAAAGTTAAATTTTCTCGCGATTTGGAGCGAGTTTCTTTACTGGTCCGGAATTTGGCTGCTAGAGAAAATGTTTGGTACCAACATTTGGCTACTATTAAATGCAGTTAAGTAGTAAAGTTATAAGGTTTCAACCCTGCTAATGCACTTGTCTCGGGTAGAAACGAGTAGCCCAACACGCTTAGGTGCGATACCGTGCATATATATATATATATATATATATATATATCAAAGTTGAATCTTATTAACGATCTTCATTGACCAAACTGTCCAAATTATAATGCCATGGTGAATACTAAATGCTGAATACTGTTTAGAAGCAACAAGTAGAGTATGCTCTGTGCTACTGCATCAATCGTCACTCATGGACAAATACCGGTTGTGTTCCGCAAAATCTATTTTACGTCTGCAAAGTTTCTATCAGGGAACTTGTGAAATTCCGACATTCACTTTGCCTCAACTACTTGCCGCGGCAGTCGTTCCATACATTCAACACTGCGTTCGAAACAGAGTTGGTTAGCGACCGGCTTCAAATCCGGTACAACAAGCTTATACCGGTGTCTACGTGTGCCGTTTGCTGTGCGCAGATGAAGCAGTGGTCTCAATAAAGGGTAATAACCCAGATGTAATATCCGGTGCGTCAAGATGAGGTCAACCCTCAGTCGACGATAAGCTAAAGTGTACAGCCCTAATTTCTTTCATCAGTCTTCGTACGGCGCACCTCGTAATTTGGGAATCAGCATGGTGGCCACATGTAGCACTCGCTCAATCTTTTCTACCTTGCCCCGGCTGATAGGAAAATACGCGGAAGAGCCATACTCTAGCATTGGTCGTATTATTGAAACGAAGAGGCGAGTGGCAATCTCTTCGGGCCAAGTGCTAAAGCTGCGCCTGAACGCTCAAAGCATATGAAAACCGTTTTGGTAAATCCGATTTGTGTTGTTCATGGACTTTAGGTCATAGCGTGAGAGTACACCGAGGTCGCGTGCGAAAGGCGCAGGATGCAAAGGTCGACTAGCCACCGAGTAGGTTCGACAGTGCTCACAATTACCCAGCCTCATGTATTGCGACTTGACCAGATAGATCGGAAGGTTGACCTCTGCAGACCACGTGGAGAGATGGTCGAGGTCCTGCTGAAACAAATCACAATAATTGGGTGTGCGGATTACTCTCCACACCTTCAAGTCATCCGCAAACAACACGTAAAGGTGATTGGAGTACTGAGGCACATCTTTTACATGGATCAGAAACAAAATCGGACCCAGTACAGTGCCTTGGGGCACGTAGCTGCTCGATGGATACCAGTCAGTTAGATGGTTGTCCACCTGGACCCTCCACTTTCGATCAACAAGGAAATTCCTGATCCATTGGTGCAGCGAACCACCAACACCGCATAACCTCAGCCTGTTGAGGAGCACTGCATGATTTACTTTGTCAAAAGCCTTACCGAACTCAATGTAAATGACGTCGAATGATTTGCCTTGGTGCAGCGCTTGTAACCATTCGTGCCTCGTCAACAGTAGGTTGGTGATGCACGAGCGACCTTTCACGAAACCATGCTGTGCGGGCGCCAAGAGGCTTTTCGACTCGAGAAGCTGCAGATGGCTCTTCTTCACGATCTTCTCGAGCGTCTTTGCCAAAACAGCGATCAGGCAGATCGGTCGGTAGTTATGCACTTTGCTTGGGTTACTACCTTTAGATATTGGTTTTACGACTGAGCATTTCCAGTCGCCCGGTAATAGTCTAGTGGATTATATTTGTTACAATAGTTTTAGGTTCACCAACATATCGAAGAAGATTGGTGTAGAAAATTAAAAGCATGTTCAAATTAACCTAAAGGGCAGCTTAAGGCTGTTTTTATGCATTTATTTTTCATACATAACTTTCATGGTTGGGTTAACTAGACGCATGTTATAAACTTTTATGTCCCATGCAGTGAGGCACATCTTTCTCACTGACTGTGTTAGAATTCGCTATGATCATTTACGAAGACAACTTGTTGAACATACCCTCAGGTTGCAGTTTCTACTTTACCCTAGTGAAATTTCGGTGTTCCAAACGGTGATCCATCCAGATCTGTTGTAATCGTGAAACTGTGTTCACTTCGGTCCTGCGATGAACTTAGCCGCTACGCATATAACTAACTTTATCGTACAGCCAAAACGACCATTCTAAAAAGCAACATCCGAAAATGACACACCGAACAAATAGTAAGACTGAACTAGTTATGGTTCTACATAATGTTCAATCACCAGTTAGAAATATCTGCTGGTTCAATGCGATCCTCTTACGGGCCAAAATGATTTTGATTATGCTTGTGTTGTTGTGAAAATGATCAAACCAACAGCAGACCTATATTCATCGCGTCTAATGCAAAATACTGTTAGCTTTATTAAACGATTAATCTAGGCAATAAGAGCTTTAAAACCGGGTTGACCAGTTATTTAATCGTGGTCTCAAATTTCGCCCCCAAAAAGGGGCGTTTGAGGCAGCCCCGTGGTGTAATTGCCTGCATCCAGAGAGATGTAAAACACTTTGACAAAGTGAATGCTAAGTACAGCTTATTACCAACAATTGTTCATCTGATCTACTTCATTAGCTAACGTAGGTCTACACCCAAAGACAATTGAAGTTATTCACAAACGATTAACAATCGTGGAGGCTAATAAAATTAATTTTTGTGGTTTTCTATAAACATCCTAATTCTATAAACAGAGTTTTACTTGAAGTTCTTAACAAGTGTCGCATTACAAGTCAGCTTTGAACATTTGAAAAACTGGCAGCTTATGTTCGGTAGTTAAAATGAATCACATTTACGGCGTACGAATGTGTTCAAATCTCTTTGCGAAAAGCAGTCGAATAGCTGCCTATATGGCGCAGTAGCACAGCTGCTGCTGCTGCTGCTGCTGAACTCTACGATTCGTCTATGGACACCGGCGCTCAAAATTCGATGAAGTCATGTAGCATTTCCATTAAAAATGTATTTGTATTGCTTTAAGGATGAAACTAAGAATGGCGGATTTCCTGAATTAACAAGGTGCACTATGGGTCTTGAACATCTATTCTGCAAGAACCACTAGTTGGGAAAGTACTTACGTAGATCTTTAGAATATCCTGTACAAATATATTACTGGTGCAACGAACTCTACTCGCCTTACTGACAGTAGTGTTTGGCAGGGAGCCATATTTTCACATTTTCCGTTGGTGTTGATTGCAAACCTAGGCAATCCTCACTATGGCTTTTTGAGTGAACATACCCTGGTGACGTGACAGGCTATGTGACTCCAAGAATTTTTGCGTCTTCCTAGCCCCATGGCAGACATAAATATCTGGTAGAACGGTTCACAACCTCATCTACCGATGTAAACGCATTTGCATTTAATGACATCAACTAGTTTGACTTGCAATAACTGTCCGAATAACGAGAATGTCCAGAGTATTCTGACTAAGTCCGCTAAAACCGAATCAACTTATCCACTGTCAACTGTCTTTAAACAGCTCTTGACCCGCGCACCTGGTAAACTAGTTCATAGTGCAAAGTTTACTAATTCCTGCTCTCATTTCGATATACCTTCATTAACCGACTAGAATTATTCAAGCTGTGTCCGCATTCAGTATGCTTAGGAATTCAATAAAATGAGACCCCTAAGTAAAAAATAACTTTAGAACGGACGAGCAACCATTTCTATCCTAAATAAAGCGACATAATTGACGTTAACCGAATATGGCGAATGTGGAAAAGTACACGCATGCAACGTACGCGCAATTCGTTAATTTTTAATAGGATTCTGCCGCCTCGTTTGTTCGTGATTCGCCAGATACATAACGTGTTTATTTCATTTGATACCCTCCAGAAAATCGCAGAGCTGCTTGTATTTAACTCCATTCCACAATTGTCTGCAAAACAACATATATGAGCAAACATGGACAATCGTAATGTTTTTCTACTTCAAATGGTATAAAGAGTTAAGCCAGTAGTGTGTTTAATTAGTTTGCTTTTGTATTAATGTACAAATAGCAGTTTGATGACGCTAACAAATACACACACTGAAATGGAATCCCAGTTACAGTTCGCTTAAGTTGACCGCGGATATTCGTTAAGCTTGCTATATATACATTCACGCAAACCTAAACCGATTTCCTTGAAGTGGCAGTTGAATAACATTAGTAAGCTCAAACTTTGCGTCTAGATTATCTGAAACCAACAAATCTAGGTGGTGCCAAATGCAAGTCACTGATATTACTGCATCGATAGAAGTTAGCATTGAAACCGTAATACTTCGCGATATTGATAACATTAGCAATTAATGTTTAGATTTGCGTAACATTTATCACATCACACTTGAATGACTCAGCGTATACGTACGTACAGTATAAACAGAATCGTCGCCAGAGGTTCCGTTGCCTTAATTTCAATAATGACGTGGTTAAAATCAAAATGTTTAAGATTATAGCCAGCATCTTAAACATTATCTGTAGCTTGAAAACTGCGACACTGCTTGTTTCAGCTACGCCCGCATTAGCTTACAGAGCTGGCTGTGCGAAACGTTGCATCTTGTTTTTTCATCATTTGTCTACTTTTTGATAAATGCATTCCACCCCACAGATATCGAGGTGCTGATTTGGTAAAGGATATCCAGACGCCTTTATCGGTCATTAACTGTCGCTCTGGTCAGCAGATTACATGTGATGATATGCTTTGCGGCATCAGTCAACTTGTTTTTTGTGTAATATTAGTAGAGCTGTTTAGAAAACTTAAAAGCTGGGAGAACAGTAGGCATGCGTCTCTCTTACTGCCCCATATCAAAGTATCCACCATACTGAGTAATCAGCAATGCGGGCTACGGCGATTAGATATCGTTTCTTTGTAAATCACGAGCTTGGTATACACCTGGTGAGTGTTTTTCAAAAGAAATCCAGCACTTTTGGCATGATTTTGCTTTGCAGATGCATTTCATCTTCTCTGACAAATTTGCAATAAACACACTAATCGCACTTCCAAAATAGTTTATTGAACTACTGAGCCTTAAGTCGTTTCGTTTCAGTACTATATATTGCTGACATTTTTGCTAGCTCGTAACAGTCGACAACATTCACGGCTCTGGATCTGAAATCTGCTTACCGGCCATTAAACGGGACCGAGGAAAAACGGCGTTTATCGTCGGTGATATACAATAGCAATTTAAAACGAGGCCTTTTGGATTCTTGAGAGCCTCAGTTGTCAGCCGACGTTCAATGCTTCGCTTGCTGAATGCCTTGGAGAACGTGGCGGTGTACGGGATGAAATCTTCGTGTGCAGCCAATCGGAGACAGAGCACAGCGGTCATCTCGAAGCAGCCTTGGAACGGATACAGTAGTGGGGCTGCGTACAAATAGACCAAAGTCCCAGCTAGGTAAGTGTTGTTTCAACTTATCGGGCCATAAAGTGGCACATGACGAGTTGAAGAAACCGACTGAGAAAATGTTGTCAATACAATCTCTCAAGCGGCCCTCCGTTCATCAAAAAGTCAAAGTATGGGCCTCGATCAGAAATTCATTATTCATCGAACGTAAACACATTTTATATCTCCAGTCAAGTAGAATCACTCACAGTTGCAGGATAAATCTCCTTCCTATTACACTCTTGACCAGTGTTGGAGCTTCGTTCAATGTCGATACAAATCAATTGCATGCTATACTTCAGTTCGTCTATGCAGGGATCAACCAACTTTCAGACTGTTGGCCCAAAATTATTAAGCTCGACCGATTGTTAAGTGTCGTATCTTGCCATCACATCCTTCATTTTTTCATACTTCTCGTGTTGGAGCTTCCGTGTTGTCTTCCACTGCGGGAGAGATTTTGAACTTGGGCTATTATCATAGTTGGCTTGTTCTGCAGAGCCGGTTTCTTTTCACGGCGAAGGGACTGTCCACCGTATCGCCTTTTTAACCACACTGGATAGCTTCCATTTCCTTCCCGACACTCAGCTGCTTTTCTCTTCTGATACGCTTCAGCTCTACGCATCACTTTTAAATATACTTGCTCGCCAGATTCTAGAGATTGAGAATGTCTTGGTCGGTGTTTGTGATGCGTTGCTCTCCGCTGTACTCGCTTTCGAAGATGGTCTCGCCAACCATTAATAGAAATTATCAAGGGTTTCGAACTTACTATGGCTCCGGGAACAGCTTGTGGTGGTACTGGTTGTCCTCGAATTGAGGATGTCACAATGTGGTCTGCGCGAACCCCACCTGTTATTTATTGAACTCTCATGCTCCTCTTGCCGACTTTTAATGTTAAGTGAGCTAACTTTAGGCGATCGGCAGCAGCGAGTGAACGGGTTCCATCGGCCTTCACAATAAGCACCAAACCTCTCGATTATTTCTGTAAGATTCGGTTCCTGGTCATAATCGCAAAAGTTCCATGCTTCTAATATCCGTCCGGCTTCCTCACTGATGCAGTACCTGAACATTACTAATTGATATGATCCCGGATATCCATCTAACTTGATCAGTGTAGCGAAATCCATCCATTCCACTCTCCACACCCTCCAGCTAGTCCCTAATGTGCCTGCGCTCATTTGTAGAGAATGCGGCAGTGGGATTAATGATTGTTCATCTAAGGCGAGCGGGATTTTGTACCTCAGCACATCTGACACCATGTCAAGTGGCCTTCCGTGAATCAAAAACTCAAAGTCTGGGTCTCGATCAGAAAATCATTATTCATAGAACGCAAACACATTTTATATCTCCAGTCAAATAGAATCACTCACAGATGCAGAACGAATCTCCTTCTTGACCAGCGTTCCAGCTTCGTTCAATGTCGATCCAAATCAATTGCATACTATTCTTCAGTTCGTCTCTGCAGCGATCGACCAGCTTTCAGACTGTTGGCCCGAAATTTTTTAGTTTGACTGATCGCTAAGTGTAGTATCTTCCCATCACACAACACACCTCAGTTCCTACTCCAAGACGCAGTCTCAGCGCGATCTGGTGTCATTCTGAGTATTGCAGCAAATTCATCAAAGAATTAAACAATTTAGTCTCATCCTTGTACGAGTTACTAAATAATAGGATAGGAAATACGCTTATCTGAAAAAGCCTAAGAAGGGTTTGTGCACATTGTACAGGAGATCGGTACACAGGAGCTGACCCTTAAACTGCCCGTTATTGGAGAGATATTCACGTTGGCCACCGATACCAGCGACGTCGGAGTCCGCGCGGTTTAAAACAAAATCATGGGAACATTAAGTAGGCTAGCAGCATTTTGACATAGGCGAAACGCAAATACTCAACCATTAAGAAGGAAAGTCTCGAAATCGTCTTGGTTTTGGACAAATGGTGGCCATAGTGCTAAGTCACCGATTACATGTCGAAACGAAACATAAAACTTTGGAAAGGATTATGTATGCTAAAGAGCCCAGCGGAAAGTTAACGCAATAGAAGCTGCGCCCACAATAATCCGATATCAAGATATGCTGTGTGCCGAGGAAGGAGAACCAATCCGCGGAATTTTCTTCACTTTAAATGAACGAAGATGATTTGCCAAATACAGTTTTCGCTATTCATGGTAAATTGTTAGATCAGGATCCCCGACAGTTGGCGGCCGAACAATGAAGTGACAAAGTCTTGAGAACAGGGATCACTGCACGAACAGCCGATCACTCAGTCGTTACTAAGAGCCAACAAAAGCAGCTCAGACCGTCCTCGAGAAATATTGAATACCTACAAGTAAATGAAGCGGGGATCCTGATGTAGATACCAAGAGGTAGCAACACGTCGGTGTCGATTTTCCTGACAAACTAAGGCGGAGGATGTGGATTTCTTGTCACGAGATGATCCACACAGGTTGTTCCAGGACCTGGGATCTGCCGACGCAACGCGCCTATCGGCTGGATATGATGATAGGCTTTAAGGCATTCGTGCTCCGGGGTAGGCAATGTCAGTTTTCGAAAACCGACTGCCGAGGTGCACAACATCTTGTGCTGTCTATTCCGGACTCTGAAGTGGTGAACTATGGTTGATCGATATGAGGGGACGATTTCCAAAGACTAGGCGCGGCAACCAGTACATCTTGTTGATGACGGAGCACTTCATGTGCTGGTCTGAACCAACGGGAATCCCGGATCAGTGAGCGACAAACATTACCCATGTCATCATGAGATATTTTATAGCGGATAACGAAATTCTAAAAGCCTTGTTAACAGACCGGGGTCCGCGATTTAGTGTAAGGTTTCCGGAACTGAATAGAAAAACTTGGTATCAAGAAAGTGCAAACAACCCCCACCACTCGCAGTCAAATAGCTTGATGGAGCGTAACAATAGAACGATTGAAAGCGGCTAGTGGCAAAGAGTGGAGACTGGTAGCAAGGTTTGCTACTGTTGTTGCTGACTCATAGAGTGTCCAAACAGGCATCCATAAAAAACACCATTCAGATTGAGGTTGGGTTGCGCACCTCACCCACCTGTGAAGCCAAAACGTTGGAATGCGGTCAATTTGTATAATATCTCCTTAAGATGCATTTTAAGACAGGAAGGTAACCAACCTTAAACTTAAGGCAGCTCAGGCGCAGAGGATGCAGAAGTACCAGACCAACAGCGTTGAGATGAGTGTCGAGTCTCTGGTCGGTTCGAAGGTGAAGTACGGAGACCATCCACACGCTCCAAGTTGTGGCCGAAGAAAGAAAAGTTCTACCGAAGTGGAAGGTACCGGATGTGGTGACCATTTGACGAGGTCCAGTGTATACAATCGCTCGGCACTGAGATTAACGACAAGTACATGTCCGCGCGTCTAGAAATGCATGAGCTAGAGGAGGGACCTCTTATGCACAGTGAGGATCCCCGACAGTCAGACACATTACGAGCGAAGGCAGTTAGGGTAAGCGGTTTGGGGAGAGGCGTGTGATGGACTAAACGCAGACACTATTGCGCCAGTTAACAGCAGTATGGAAGTACCCAGATATAAAACGGCCACCAGCCAGCAGCAGGCTGTAGTGACTCCCTCAAAAGAAAAGGAACCCTTTGGAATTGCAGGTTTATTCGCACGAGGAATGGACGCAAAACTAATGACTGCCACACAACCAGTAGACACCAAAGAACCCTGTGCCATGGAAACTCCAGCAAGAATTAAGAAGGTGAGTGGATGTTTCTTTGGACAGAAGCGGTGCACTTAGTAGCAGCTATGTTTGAAACACTAAACAATTCCGCTCGCACCTCAGGTTCTTAAACACTGCACATCACTCTGAAAGTGATTTCACAGTGGTTATACGACGGTTGAAAACAGGTGTATTAATAAATATATCTTTTGAGCGCGGTGTTTAGAAATGAATTATGGTTTTATTTGTAACCGCGAAAGTTTAACCCAGGTATTTGTGTGAGTTTAGCTGTCGGTGAGTTTTGAGCGAAAAATGTAAGGTGTAACCAAAGATTGTCCGCCTCCAGCAAGCGAATTAAAGACAAACCGATTTTGTCTCGCAGTGTCGTAGAACACAAAATATTTTGTTAATCGTAGCAAGTATGCTTTCACGTAATTTACACATGTCATCGCTATGATATATCATCATATAACAGTCAAAATATAATTCTTAAATGCAGAAAGCATGATATATCACTATGTCACGATAGCACCTGGAAGAGCGGGAATTTCGATAGAACACAAGCAGCGGCTTATTCATATGCATTGTCGTCCAATGCCTTTACGATATTGTACATTCATTGTCTACCTAGAAATTTTTCAAGGCAATTTGTGGAGCCCAGACCAGAGCGTACACGCACCAGGAATAAACGTGTAAAAATGTTTGCATCGTTCACTGCTCACCCGGTTACTAACATTTCATCAAGATAATTAGGAAAGGATATTTTTTTATGAATCGGTATAAATCTCCACCAAAGCAATGACCAGTACTACGTCTAAAGCTAGGCGATGTATTTATATGAAACTACACCCGTTGAAGTCTGCGATTTCGGATAATGCCTAGCAATATCTCGCAAAAATTAGGCTTCTGAGACATTACAAACAACGGTTCAAATAATTTATCCAAACAGGATATCAGAAAGCACCATGTGTGTCTATATGTAATTCGGATGTATGAACAAAGAACGCAAGTTACCATAATTGTTAACTTTTTAGTCAAAATGGATGCGTTATCTTCATCCTCTTCATCATCATTATCATCATCATCCTCATCATCATCATCATCTAATCTCGTCGTGACAAAAATAGACAGCTTAAGAATATGATATACGTAAACTTAAATTAGGCATTTCAAACTTGATATCTTTGCACTCACGTCCATATCGGTAAGTTCAAGGCGTATTCCATGAGCGTTTGGGGCGGACAATGTTGCGCTGCAGAACATGTTGGGTTCATAATTCCTTAGTTCAATTTCTCCCTCTGATTCCTTTGGATGAGACCGGAAGCAACCTTTTAGATGAGCTGTACAAGTAACAAAAGTGGGGCTGAGGAGAGTTCAATATGTCTAACACTCGTGATCAATTGTAAAACCCAAGAACGTTGCCATGGTTATTTGCAGAATTGGGTAGTAACAACATTTAAAAATATTACCTGCAACATTGTTTTCTGGTATAGCAATAATAAATATTGCTATCAGGATTATGCGCATTGTTTCTCTTCTAGGCTCACTAGACTAGTGCTGAAATGGAAATAGGTTGTAAAACTTATACAATTTCTTTAACGTACTAGTACAATCTGCGGAATATAGATACATACTAACTGACAAATCACCTTACATTACGATCTCCATCAGCATACTGATTGGTTTTCAAAAACCCTGCATATGCTATGTGGAAATAAGAACAATGCAATTTCTTCTGTGGCGGTATGGCACATTTGCTTGTATGTACTTAATCTAAAAGCAGTGAGCATTTATGCTTAAAATGTGCAATACCGATCAATAGCTTGCAGCCCTAAGCCAACGTACTTTAAGCCATGGTTGCATAAATACCTCAGCTTTCTCAGCTCACAATTGTACTTATACGTTGTTCAATGGTACGAAGCAGTTTTTACAGATGTGTGGGTAAAGATGGACTGGATGTCACATTCCGTATGCTTGCTCTAAGCAAAACACATGTAAAATGCCCGACTACACTCATGTGCGCTTCAGTTCATGTCCAGTTAAATATCTCAAATTTCACATCCTGCAATCGTGCACAGATATTGATGTACCCTCCGTAGTGCACTGCCTAAAAGGTTTCTTCGCACTCTAAGGCTGCCTAGTAGGTGCACTGAGGCTGCACTCAGTCACAGTGATGTCGTCCGTGAAGTGTATCAACGACGTACAGTGTCGTAGTCCTCAGATGTGTTAGCAGTACACGGATTTCTCAAACGCAGTGGAGCTTCTGCTTATTAAGTTAAATACTTTATGTTTTCACAACCCCTAGCAAAGCAACTAAGGACAATCGAAATAACATAGGTCATCTAATGTAGACATTAATTTACATAACTACTTTATGGTTGCACTGCTTTGTAGCGGGCTACAAGGTATAGTCCATAGTCATAGATCTCTCAGTAGGCTAGTGGAATACATGAACAACTTGGCATTTAAATGTGTTGAACTTTGGCAGAGGAATAGTTGACTGCCAAACAGCGGTGTAATTCTCGGAACAGCAAATCAGCATTTTCCTTTTTACAGATCGTGCGGTATACCTGCATGTCGTCGGTAATCTGTAGAGAATTCGAGTTGATGACTCATGCAAGGTATTCTGTGAAAACCAATTGTAAGCGTGGTACCAGCACTGATCCTTGTGAAACACCGCACTCCACCTCAACTGTAACAAGTGATAAGCCCAAAACTTTTATAAATTGATACAGCAGAATAAATTTCACAATCCATTTAAAGACAAGGTCAGTAAATATTTAAGCTCACAACTTATGAAGGTTGATGCGGTGATACTTGAAGTGACCACGGTGCTAGCCCTACTACCTGCCGTTTAGACAAATACACTACGTGCCTTCGTATATTAGTAATACTTGACCATGGTTGATGGAATGGGTTTTGCTCCACCGGCAAGGTATTAAATTAGTATAAGCAACCCACTAGCGCCTAGTCAAACTTTGTTACAATTATATTTGAGCTAAATGTGCGAGGAACACTGGGTGATAGTTTGTGGGTTCTGCAAATCTGCAACCCTTATAAGCAAGGTAATGATAACCTGGTTTCATATGGTGACACACGCTTTATAATAACCTATTTATAGAGAATCGTGGTTGTTGCTCGCATAAATCAACCATTGTTTTCGTCAACGTTTTCTGGTGAATATTTTCTGTTCCAGGATAAATATTGTTTCGCAACGGTAGTAACTTCATCAATCTAGTCACTAAACTATAATCATCGTGGTTAAATAATTAAGTTTGAGGGTTGCTAAATGTGCATGAATGAGAAAAACGCATATCAGTATGCTATCGCAAAAGTTCGCCGTTGCTTAATAGATAAATCCTAGGTGCCTTGAACTCGTTCGTCTACGTAGGTGATCGAATGTATTAAGATACTTCATTTTTTGAAACTTGTCTATACGTTTGCACAATAGAATGGATTTGACACAAAAATTATTCGCTAAGCAATGTTGCCACATGGTATCGTCTGCATAGATAAATGTGGTACGTTTAATATGGTGTTACAAATATTGATCAAGGAGGCAGGACAAGGGATGGATCTATACCCATTTCATGCGGTCTGTTGTAGACCAATCAAGTCAAGTCAAGGAAAGATTTATGCACCCAGAAGGATGCATTTGCAACACTTTACACTATCTATCACAAATGTGATATAAACATCACCAGGAAAGGTGAGAATTTTGCAATTCTAATAAGAGTATGGATAAAGATTGCACAGATGTCCCTTAGGTAATGTTCCGATTATTTGAGCAACGACCGCACGTTGATTGAAAGATTTATAAGATTCTTCTTCTAGTTGACGAGGCCAACATTTGTTAAAATGTTTGTTGATAGCACGTTTCAACTGAACGAAAGCAACGAACCGCTAGTTTTGTGCTGCGTCTCGGATAATTTTCCAAAAAATCGGTGGAGTCCAACGACTTCACTGACTTTGAAATTGTACATCCAAAGTATTCCTCAACAGATTCAAATATAATTGAGGCATTTACAGTAGACAGTGCAAAGAACGATCTTTTTGAGGGAGATCAGCAACGGCCAATTTAAAGGTCCCGCTTTAAATTCGGGGCCTATACATTTTGGAGTCACAAATGTTCCTGACCTCATTCAGTAAAACGGTACTTGTTTGTTAATAAGGGGCTTGCTTTCAACTACTGGGTGATCATAATAGAGCCACTCCTAATGTTATCTATACAAGTGTTTGCTGAAACCTCCAAATTAGTTTACGTTCTGAACTGACCTGCGGAGCAGAATATCGAAAGGCCCTTAGTCACAAAATTCAACCATGCGTATAATACAACTTCTGCTAAAATCCGTAGTTACAAAATCGATGGCTGTTATCCAAACTCCTAGCTGGCATACTTGATATTACTGTAGCCAATGTTCTAACTATAAATTACTTGCAGTGGAACTAAAACTCGCAATTAAGAATCTTGCTTCCATTGCTGGAGTGATCATTAGTCGTAATGCATCGCAAAATCACGGTACCGTCAGAAAAGGGTGTCTAAGGCTTGTAACGCCTGCGTTTTGCGACTCAGTAAGCTGATTGAGGAGTTTACATGCATTGCATTGCATTGCGGAAAACTTTTATTTGATCAGTATTGGATTTGTGGAAGAGGTAACTTGGTGCGAATTGATTCTGACAGATGAAAGATAGGCCACACTAGGTGTTGGAGTGTTGAATGCATCTGTGTCGACTTCGACAGTTTTGTACATTAGTGCACATTTGTGTGAAGTGCCATTGCCATCTTCGATGGCTGGCCAAGTCATGTTTCTCCGAACGTTGATACGAACTTTCTCGAATAAATGCTTTATGTCATGTGCGTGCTTAGATGATGTTATCTTGGGCGGGAGCTAAGAATGTAATCAGCTGCGCTGCGCATGCACGCTTGGTAGCAAAAAATTTGTCATCTCTCTGAATTAAAACCCTATCATCCCAATCCGGTCCCACCCCCTTCGGTACCTTGGACGCTGGATACTTTTGAGATAGATTTTGTTACGATATTTTATAAGGATAAGAGCTCAAACGTATGGAGCACTGATTATGGAGTTGGTTATTTGGGCTATGATAGACATACACTATAACCTCTTACCTAACCTCACACACACTTAAAAAAGCAGAACACCACCTGAACGTTCTTGCAGAACTCATGGTAAGTGGAGCATCCCAGTAGTTGTTGGCGGTTTATAAGCAGGAGCATTGCTCCAGCACTTGAATGCCTACGCCTATCAGCTCTTGAAGTTAACTATCAGGTTGCTAACAAGATCGTTTTCAGAAAGCCAGGTCTCCGACACAGCAGTCACATCCACACGCACTCAACAGGTCACCAATCCTCCCCATTTGTTACGCACACTACAGCAGTTAGTATACCACAATCCCGATCAATCCGGACGCGGTTCTTTTCCTCGGGCTCCACCCCCTGGGAACAACCCGACGTGTGCCCCCATTTCATCTTAGTCTGCTTCCTGTGTCGACGGATCAATGTTTAGCTAATCTAATGCATCACGGAACATTCACTTTGTTAGCCTGGCCCAACTTAGCTTACCGGGAAAACCCCGAAGGGTAATCTTTCATTTAACTGAGTCGGTCTAACAGTACAACAATTCGGTTTTTCCTACAGACCATATTATTTTATGTCAGCTTGTTATTTCCCGCACATTCACGGTTGCTACCATCAGCGTATTGAGGTGAATGATTTTCATTCTAGGAGATCTGTTGTTTCACATCGGTGGCAGCATGTATTAATCTAGACGATGAACTGATATTAGCCTGGCTAACTCCTTACGTTTGGCAGGTGGATACAACTATGTGAACTGGACAATTGCAACGCAGCATGCAAACGCATATTGATTACTTAATCCTTCTAATGGTTAGTCAAACTGTGCATCGCTTACTTACGCTCGCTGCATGCAATGTCCCGAATACATAATCCAAACGGAACAATTTAAGCAAAAAATCAATTGGTAGCAGATTATTTCCTTTTTCATCGGCGGAATTCGTTTTACCTTATTGCTTTGACTTTGGGTGCTGGATAATCTACTTTAAGTTAGTAGGCAAAAGAAAAGTGACGGATTTGCGTCATTGGGTTGCCTGTGTTTTAAGGAATGGGAGTTTAATTTCTGATTGAAACTGCAGCATTTTGACGGTAAACTAGTTGGTTTACTTGAAGTCTTTTGGTAGAGCACGGGTTAAGATCGATTACTTAGATGGTTCACATGCAACCGGTGCTACGTCAGAATGCTTAGTTTTGCCTTCAGTCATATGTCTAAGGGGTTAGGTGTATTGAGCATTTTTGCTTGTTCAAGAAAATGATAAAGTTTTATCTGTCAACGGACAGAGTGAAATGGATCTTAAAAATCCAACAGGATGATGCAAAGGGGTATGAAGAAGGGCCTGACCATGTATGATACCGGAGAACATCGACTTCAAATATATCCAACAAAACAACCAAAGCAAACATGATCATTTAGGATGAGCTGTTATAAACCGCTTCTTATGCTATTCTTTAATGCTGCCTCTATTGCGGTGTTACTCATTTCAAACTTAATTCATAACAAT